GGCAGGGGAAGGGGAAAATAAAAACCATTAGAGATTATACAAAGGTGCATATTTCCAAGGATGAATGCCATTATATTGTACACCTAAAATGTACCAATAAAATAAAATTTTTAAAAAGTACCTTGATAATATCTTAAAACCATCACCATCATCTATTTTCTGAATATTTTCCTCTTGCAAACTCAATCTGTACCTATGCAATATCTCCTTTGTTTCCTGACAAGTGACCTTCATCACCCGAATTACATCCAAGGAGCACTCATTTATGTGGTTAGTTTATTTACCTTATATTATGACCTTAAATTTCATGTGTACCGAAGCATATATTAACATTTTCTAGTTTTTGACTCAGATTGTATATATGTAAAATTATGTTTACATTCATCTCTCAATTGATGCACACATTGTTTTTATTGTTCTGCTACTGTGCTTGATGCTGCTATGCACATTGGTGTCCAATACCTCTTAGAGATCCTGGTTTCCATTTCTTTGGGTGCAGACTCAGAAGTGACCTTTCTGTACCCTACAGTAACGCTGTGTCCAAGTCTCTGCAGAACAGCCACATTTCTCTCCCATCTGCTGTGCTATTTTCCTTCCTCCAGCAGTGCACAAGGGCTCCAACCATCCACATACTGGAGAGCAACCCTGTCTCCTGCTGCTTCTCTGATATTCACCATCCTATTCAGTATAAATTTCTGGGTTTTTGTACATCATTCAGCCTGTGGTAGTTTTTTTATGGAGCACAAACAGTCTAAGATATCACTATGCTGTCTCTCTTTCCCTTAAATGTACTTCTGTCATTTTCATCTCATTTTTACAATAACTTTTCATCATAAAGTTCCATAGAGAGCAAATATTTTCATATATGCACCACTTCAAAGAACACATTTTATCTCACGATTGGGAGGAATATGCATGAACTAGTTTAAAAAACATGCTATGAGATTGGAAACATAATTACATGAAGAATGAAAAAAAATGAGTTGAAATTTTATAAAATGTTATGAACAATGTTATTTACTTTACCTTTAAAAAGAGTTATAGTATCATGACTAAACACCATCGTTGTATTCAGGAAAGTGGTCTCCGAAGCAGCTTTTCTGGGATATGTTACCAAGCCACCAGGAAAAAATACCCTGAGATGATCCATGGCAAATTGTTTAGATTCATGGATGTTACAGAAACATAGTTGATCAGCTTGCAGATCTTTAGCCAAGCATTCTGCAGAGTCAGAAAAGTATCAGCAGACATGAGGGGCAAATATTACCCAAAGTTTCAGAAAGAAAGAAATTTTGTGATAATTGAAGGGGAAAGTAGAGAACAGCACTGAACAAAATGTTCGTGAGAGTGGGGTGAGTCATAGCAAATGCAGGTCAATTCGAACCCAAGAGAAAATGGGGCCTTATTTGGAGAGTGAGGAGTGGATATTTGTTGTGGACTCTGTTTGTAGCTGGACATCTGGAGTAGGACCATGCACCCTGTGTTTACATCCAGAGTAACACTCTCTGAATGTTCGGTTGGCAGACACAGTGAGCCCCGGTGTTGAGGGCAGGCAGTATCTGCACCCTGATCTTTGGCCTCTTGCACTGAAATGCAAGAAATCATGCTCACTGTTAGGATTTGGAGGAGACTCAGTGGAGTATCAGCATGTATATGAAGAGTAGTCAACTGAAACGGGCGACTTGCTCATTCTACAATTATTTTCCCAGAAATATTAAACAAAATAACAAACAAAAACCATGACAACTCACCATAGCACGTGAGAATCAATGTGGCTGGAGAGAAGCTGTACTGTGATGGCCCAAATACTGCTTCCTACAGCCCAGTGCAAGGGCCCTGCTGTGCTTAGTGAGCTCCCGAGCGATCCTCTCTCTCTTCCTCTCTAGACGGAGGGTTGTCACAGCTCACATGCAATTTGCAGTTGATCAGTCAGGGTGAAGGAAGCACACCTGCATAGTGAATGCAGAAGATGGTGGAGCAAAGACCCTGGGCCATGCACAAGAGAGACCTGACAGTCACCAGGACATGCAACCCCTCCTCACAGCAGAGGGGATTGGTACTGAGATTAAGCCTGTGACAGGATGGTAAAGGCTTTGTTTGATCTCATACTTAAAGCAAGTAGAACAAAGGGGGATATTGAGATAAGCTACACCTTGGGTCTCTTGATAGCAATGCTGTCCAGAGCATGCAGTATGTCTGAAACCAAGCCCTCGGCACCGCCGAATCACATCGGCGTTCTGCATGCCTCCGTTTGTTTAGACATCATTTGACAAGCACATGATAAATGGGTGCACTGAGGTGACGGGGGTTCAGCTGGACTCTGAAGATTGGTACCCAGCAGCTCCTTGGAGGACGTGGAATTGTTGGCAGAGATGCTGTTTTGTGGACATCAAATTCAGTACATGGGCACACACTGGAGGACAGGGAAATAGACTCCAAATTTTTTCAGCAACAACATACATAAAAGACCTATGCAGACTCAGTTTTGGATAAATATCTGTTACATATTTTCAAAAGTTGACAGATCTATTTGTACATCATGTAAAATGTGATGTTCTGAGGAACATGTGCATGGTGGAGTGGCTGATATAGCTAATTCTATAATGTGCACTACCCACACAGTAATATTTTTGTGGTCATAATATTTAATATCCATGTGCTTAGCATTTTCAAAATCCCAAAACAAAGCTCTTGACTTTTCCTCCCCTCTAGCTGTACATTAGTGTCCGTCGGCCACCACCTCTCAACCCTGCCCCTCCTTAAGTGTCCAAACCTGGCAATCACTGTCCTACTGTCTACTTCAAAAAGATTCACTTTGAGAGATTCTAAATTTGAGTGAGACCTTGTGGTAGTTGTCTCTCACCTCACCGCTGTTAGAATGGCTGATATAGAAAGACAAAGAGAACAAATGTTGGAAGGAATGAGGAGGAAAGGGAACCCAGGTATGCTGTTGGTGGGGTTGCATATTTATGCAGCCATATGGACAACAGAATGAATTAGACTGTAACTGCCTACCACAGCACCAGTCACTCCCACTTCTGAGTATATAACCAAGAGAAACAAAAATCAGCATGTTGAGGAATCGTCTGCCCTTCATTTCAGCATTATTCAAAAAAGCAGGATAGAGAATTTACCTGTGTTCATCAGTATAAAAAAGGACACAAAAATGTGGTATGTATATACAATATAATATTATTCAGTCTTAAAAAGAGAGGAAATCCTGTCATTTGGGACAAATGGGTAAATTTGGGGACATAGAAAGAAAAATTTTGTTTTAAAAAGAACTTTCTTCTTGCAAAATACCATTGGAAAAATTTGATTATTTGAGTTGCCAATATTTGGGAATAGCACAAAACTATTCAGGAAACTCAGGAATGAAAAACACTTCACAGGCTTCCCTTGCCATAATGTCAGACTTGTTATCCCTGGGACAGTTCTGTGTCCAGAGGCGCTGAACCCAATCCAGTCCTCATGCTCACCTGCTCAAGTGATCCCCAGAAATAAGGATTAAAATGATTAAAATTAATAATTGATAATTTGAAATAGGAAGAAAAGGTCCAAAGGGGTAGGGGAAGTGGGAGGGGAAGGGGAAAGGAAAGAAGGGAAAGGAAAAATTATGAGAAAAGAAAAAAAATGGAAACAAAGTCTATGTAAATAGGGAAGGGTGGAGGGGGTGAAGGGCACACAGGTAATGGGGAAAAAATAAGAACCAAGATCCATCATGTACAGGTACAAGCACCCAATGATAAATGTAAATGTATTGTATACCTAAAATGTGCCAATAAAAGAATTTAAGCAAAAAAAAAAAAAAAAGCTCAGAGGGACCCTGGAAGCCCCCACTTTACACTCAGGCCCCGATGTGGCCCCTTCATCTTCCCGTGTGTTCTCTCTCCGACCTCATCCTCTCCTCTGCCTGCTCCCCCTGCAGGCCTGGACCCCTGCACAGGGCTCCTCCTCTCCTCCGCTGGCCTGCAGGGGGACGTGACTTGTGCACAACCTGCACCAGAGCTGGCTCCTCCTCTTCCATGGCCTCCCCTCTCTACCTCACGCGTGGCTTTGAATTCTTTCACCACTGCAGCCACTCTTGCCTCTCCTTCTGCCACTGAGAGCTTTGAGTTTGATGTATGCTTAAGTTCCAAAAATTTGTATAATGCTGAGGATGTACTTCTGTGCTACAGGATTTCTCCACTATGCACAAGGCCAGGGTATCAAGCCCCACCACCAATAAATACAAGTAAACAAAAAACCATCTCCATAATTATTATTAATTTAGAATGTTTTCCTACTTGCATGGCCTTGTGTGGTTACTTCACACATGTATGTAAAGTGTAGAGATCAAATCAGAGCTGCCAGCTTTTCCATCTTGTGACCTTTAAGTTTGCCTCTCCTGCTCATGTGCTCCCTGTGGCAGTCTCTTAGTGATTGTTTAAACATACAAGTGGCGTTACTCAAGTGGGGCGGCTCACATACTTCCACAGCCTCATCCAAGCTCCTTCTCCCTCTGCAGCCCCACTGAGATGCCCACGCTGGCCGCTCCTGTCCACCTCCTCACAGCTCAGCCACACGTGGAGCTGATTCAGTTCGGCTGCGGATGATGTTTCTCTCATTTGCCATGGAAACATCTTATTCCTTTCCCAATTTCTGTCCAATGCTCTAGACTTTACGGAAATTTTATTTTATCTTCAGCCCCTGGTTTCCAGTATCATGTAAGACATGGAATGACAGATTTTTTAATGTTTTTTTTCTTGCTGATTTTCATCTAACCCTGGTGCAATGCTTGCTCCTTACCAGGCCCTCAGTGTGCAGGGATGGTTTGGTTCCCTGTTTCACCACTGGGGATTGTTGTGCTGCCACCTTTCCAGTGCCAGCAACTTCCAAGGTCATCTACGTCTTCTCAGACTTAATCTTTTCTAGGGTTGGAAACCTGATAGATAAGATAACAGAGGGAAGGACATCACCAGGTTTAAAAATTCTCTCCTCAAAGCACTCATTTAGTGTCTAGATTGAACCACCCTCATTGGCTAAGTGCGAGAATCTCCTTCACAACTTGAGGAGGAAGGAGGCTCAGGACTCGTGCTCGTGAATAACTGGGTCCCCTCCCCCATTACCTTGACTGTGAAGAGAGCGGGAAGCCAGCAGTGGGAAGGCTGGGTCCTGGGTCAGGGAGGCAGCTTCCTTCCAGGATGTAGGGTTCCATCCACAGAGAGGTGCAGTCACCTGAATCCAGCCAGGAGAGGGGATTTGTTGAGTGGAGGCCTCCTGAGATTGCTGGCTGGATGCTCTGAGACCTGAGCTGCTCCAGCACGTAATTAGCTCCAGGGCTGAGACTGTAGAAAGGAGAGGCCCAGAGGGATTTGTGCTTCTCTCTTATGATTCTTGGGAATCATCTTGCTCTGAGGCATCTGTCTGAGAGAGCTGAAGTCCAGATGGTGATTAAATAAAATTGTCATTTCCAGGATTGACATGGACTCTAAGTCCACAGCTTGTTGTTCTCATGCTTCTTTCAAATGTTGGGCTTAAGGGCAGCCTGATGCAGCCACAGTGGAAACTCAATTTAAATCTTCTGCACTTTCCTATACAAGTCCTAAACAGGCTTAACCTTTCTGAGCTTCTGAGACCAGATGAATATTAGGGTTTCCTTACTTACGTGAGTGTAGACAAACTTCCCGGCTCATTACATGTGAATCAGTATATTTAATTTTTTGAATTAGTATGTTTTAAACAAAACAGCTCACTTTAGCAGAAAATTGGGAAGGGAAGCTCTTTAGCTGCATAAATATTTGCCCTTTGGTCTTGTGGGCAACCTGATGACACCTTTATAAAGTACTGTGTTTTGCAATACTGATTTTCCTGAAATGTATTTTACCACATTGCAAAACCCTGGCTTTGTTCCGGATTCCATGGTTGCTGTTGTTTCCACCCTCAGAGTGAACTGAGAAGATAACATTGCCTGGCTTGGTTTCGAACCCATTGTGGGCTGCAGTGACCTCCACACCTTTGGACCAGTGCTGAGCTGCTCAAGCCCAGCTGGAGAGAGCTGCTGCAAATGTCCTAGTGATGTGCAGCCCCCCAGGCAGGATGTTCCGTAGCCTCTTTCTTGAGCCTCAGAGGAGACTCTTCTGCCCCTCTGCCACAGGTCCCCACACCTGACCAGGTCCAGGGGCAGGGTGTGGAGAAGCTGAGAGTTCTCCTTTACGTGGAGAGGGGCCTGGTCTCTGCGAGGCATCAGTGAAATCTGTGGGAAGAACAAATGGGAACAAGAGCAGAGGCCATATGCAGGTGGCTGAGGCAGAGAGGATGGAAAGGGTGAGCTGTTGCTGAAGGTGCCACCTCCACAGCAGATCCTTGCAACAGAGAAAGAACTCATTTACTTCTGTTGTTTTCAACAGTCTGCCAGGGCTGCCAGTTCTCTTTGGCTGTGGTATTCGGGAATGTTGGTATTTCTTTTTGTAGTAGCACAAGTCCTCTGTATCATTAAAATATCAAAGTCCTTGGAAAGTAATGTTGTCATGTAAGCTTGCTTCCAGAAGTACTAAAAATGCAAACATGTGCCAGCCATGCTGGCCTTCCTTGTAATTGCAGGTATTCAGTAGGCTGAGGCAGGAGAATAAAAAACTCAAGGCCAGCCTGAGGAATTTAGTGAGAACCTGTCAAAAAATAAATGAATAAATGGAATGAATGACAGAACATCTCTGGTCTTGATTCTAAGTGCTGCAGAAAATAAAAACTTAAATATACAAGTACCATACATTTTTATTGTATATTGTGTATTGTAAACAGGTTTAGTTTTATTTAGATTTTAAAACCTTTGGTGGGAGTGATGCACTGCCTCGTGCAAGCAAGCAGTGCAGCAGTGGATGAGCAGCATCCTGCAGCTTGGAGGCATCAAGGCTGCAGGACCAGGGCATAGGCACAGTCCTGCAGTGGAGATGGGAACAACCCACTGGCCTGATCCTGCATGAGGGCAATGCCTGGGGAGAGGACAGAGCAACCAGACCCTGGGGCTGCAGACTTTAACCCCAAAGCCCTCTCACACCCTACCCTGCAGCCTACACCAGCAGTGTTCCCCCAAACAGACAGAAGGGCCCCTGATGCAGGGAGGGTGGCCCAAATCCCACAGGCATGACAGCTAGGCATAGAAAATTGTGACTGATGGTCGGCATGGAGTGCAGGAGGCACCTGAGCGCCGAGTGCGCCTGGCCGCGGCGTCGGCGTCTGCGGCCCAGCCTTCCGTCAGGGGGTCATGGGGCGACGGGCCCAGAACCGTGGGTGCGGCGGGGCGAGGGGCGCGGAGGCCTGGCTAGCGGCAGTGGAGGGAGGCCCTGCAGCGGCAGCGGCGGGAGCGGGAGCGGGAGCCGCCCGGAATGTTCAGACACCATGGGAAACAGCACAGCTTCTGGTTCCAGTGTGTGACTGTCAGTCTGAGCAGAGACTGACTATGAAAGGTCATGAAACGGGTGCGCACCGAGTGAGCACGTCCAGATGGCAGTGTCCTGCTACCTCAAGCGCCGCCAGTACGTGGATTCAGATGGCTTGATCAAGGCCTGCGCCTGTCTCAGACTCCTGAGGAGATGGCAGTCAACCTCACAGTCCAGTCAGCATCTGGTTGTGCCAACATAGTGTCTGCAGCCCTTTGCCAGGCAGAACCCCAGCAATACGAAGTACAGTTTGGACGACTGCGGAATTTTCTCACTGATTCTGATTCCCAGTACAGCCATGAAGTTTTGCCTCTTCTCTACCCACTGTTTGTCTACCTCCATCTCAGCCTGGTCCAGGGCAGCCCAGAAAGCACAGTGGAAAGTTTCTATAGCCACTTCCATGGAATGTTCCTGCAGAATGCAAGCCAGAAGGATGTTATTGAGCAGCTGCAGACAACTCAGACCATCCAGGACATCCTGTCCAATTTCAAGCTTCGTGTCTTCCTAGATAACAAGTACGTGGTCTGTCTCCAGGAAGACAGCTACAACTAGTTGATCCACTACCTCCAAAGTGACAACAGCACTGCCCTGTGCAAGGTCCTCCCCTTACATATCCACCTGGATGTGCAGCCTGCCAAGAGAACAGACTACCAGCTCTATATCAGTGGTGGCTTCTCCCGCAGTGAGAGCAGCGGCCTGGAGCCCTAGGATGTGCCCAGCCCCAATTCTGCAGAATGAGGCCTCACTGGAGGTCTTACGAGAGAGCATCAAACGCGTCAAGGATGGCCCCCCCTCCCTCACCACCATCTGCTTCTACGCCTTCTACAACACGGAGCAGCTGCGGAACACTGCAGAAATTGCCCCCAATAGCAAGCTGCTAGCTGCTGGGTTTGACAACTCCTGTATAAAACTCTGGAGTCTGCCGTCCAAGAAGTTGAAATCAGAGCCCCACCTTGTAGACACATCACATATCCACTCGGCTTGTGATACTCTGGAGGAAGAGGAGGATGAGGAGGACAGCGCAGGCACGGAGATGAAGATCCTGCGGGGACACTGTGGACCAGTGTACAGCACACATTTCCTCGCGGACAGCTCAGGGTTGCTCTCTTGTTCTGAGGACATGTCCATCCGGTACTGGGATCTGGGGGGTTTCATCAACACTGTGCTGTACCAAGGACATGCCTATCCCGTGTGGGACCTGGACATCAGCCCGTACAGCCTGTACTTTGCCAGTGGGTCCCATGACCGCACTGCCAGGCTGTGGTCCTTCCATCAGACATACCCACTGAGGATATATGCAGGACACCTGGCAGATGTGGACTGTGTCAGATTCCACCCTAACTCTAACTACTTAGCCACCGGCTTGACTGACAAGACTGTCCGGCTGTGGAGCGCCCAGCAGGGGAACTCAGTGAGGCTCTTCACAGGCCACCATGGCCCTGGGCTCTCTCTGGCTTTCTCTCCCAACAGGAAGTATTTGGCATCTGCTGGTGGGGACCAGCGGTTAAAACTGTGGGACCTGGCCTCCGGGACCCTTTTTAAAGAGCTGAGAGGCCACACAGACACCATCACCAGCCTCGCCTTCAGCCCTGACAGTGGCCTAGTGGCCTCTGCCTCCATGGACAACTCAGTGCGCATCTGGGGCCTCCAGAACACATGCTGCAGTGCGCCCGCAGATGGCTCCTCCAGTGAGTTTGTGGGTGTCTACACTGGGCAGATGAGCAGTGTCCTGAGCGTGCAGTTCATGGCCTGCAACCTGCTTCTTGTGACTGGGATCACACAGGAGAATCAGGAACACTGATTCTTACCTTGGCTGGAATGGACTGGGCTCTGGTGAGAGACCTCTGGGTGCAGCATGGACATGGCCATGGTGAGCAAATTACTGACAGACTGTGAAAGAGCCCTCCCCCGATGCAGCCTCGTAGTCACGGGACTCAGTCAGGGCCAGGGCATGGCTCAGTGATGCCTGGACTCGAGGTGAGCGCTGGGTGCTCTGAGGTCCGTGGCATGCTCCCAGAGACCCTTGGGACCCTATGTGCAAATGCCTTCCCATTTTCATCTTGTCTGCCTCCCAGTGTGCTTACTGAGGGCCGTTGCCCAGTGCCCTCCACAGCACCCCTAGACACCCTCAGTTGAGCCACCCTCGAGGGAAGTGGGGACAGAACTGGCAAAGGGAGGGATAATCCTTTTCCTGAGTGGTAGAACCAGGATTTTTTATTGTTATGGTGATGATGATTATCATTGCAAAGAGGAAACCTAGCACTGGCAGAGGGGAACATTGCTGCTTTTATCATCAGGTTCAACTCCTGACACTGGCTGTGATATTTGGGATTTTGAGCTTCAGGGAAATCAGAGATTTTGGTGGCACAGTGTATCAGGAGAAGGGGAAATCTTGGGCGCACGCTGAGCACACCAACAGCATGTTCACGGAAGCCGGTGGGTGGGTTGACCGAGAACACTGGGCTCTCGCAATTTTGGTGGGAAACAGTCTTTCTTGGCTGCACCTCTATCAATAATTCTCTCCCCTGAAAAGAAAGATTATGGTAGGAGGGGCTGCAGCTTAGTGGTAGCGCATTTGCCTAGCATGTGGGAGGCCCTAGGTTCAATCCCCAGCACCACCAAAGAAAAAAGATTATGGTTAATAATTTGGAGGGTGGGAATGTAGCTCAGTGGCACAGCATCTGCCTGACAAGCACAAGTCTCTGAGTTCAATTCCCAGTACCAAAAAAAAAAAAGAAGAATAATTTGGAGTAAGTCAGAAGATAGAATTAGTATTAGATTTCAGAGTGACCGTTAACCAGAGGTTAGCATTTCTGCTCTCTCTCCTGCGGTGAGCGCATCATGAGGTGAATCCTGAGTGCGCATGCACATGTCAAACTGTGTCCTGAGGATAAAGCAAGTTCTAGTGTATGGGGAAAGGATTAAATATTTCTGTTTTCCGAAAAGTTATTTTGTATTTTGTTTTCTATTAAAATGTATTTAGTTTCAAAAAAAAATATTCAGCAGTGAAGCCATCAGGACCTGGGCTTTTCTTTGTTGGTAAATATTTTATTACATTTTCAATTTCACTCATTGTAATTGGGGTGTTTAGAATTTCTATATCCTCTTCATTTAACTTTGGCAATTCGTATGTATCTAGGCATCTGCCCATTTCTTCTGTGTTTTCCATTTTATTGGAGTAGAGGTTCTCAAAGAAGGTATTGATGAGCCTCTGGATTTCCATTGGGTCTGTTGTGACTTCAACTTTGTCATTCTTAATTGCATGTATTTGCAGCTTTTCTTTCCTTTTTTTGATAAGGTTGGCTAAAGGTTCATTGATTTTATT